AAAAAAAAAAATTAAATAGAAAAATAAATAATGTAAAAAAAAAATAAAATAAAGGAAATTCGAAAAAAAATATACAAATTAAAAAAAACAAACCAGGGAGTATAAATGGATCTGAAGACCCACGGTAAGAACGAAGTTCTTTAAACATGAGATAAGTATAAAGACACACAACTTCTCAGGTGACAAGGGGGTATGGCACTTCTTGCAATTTGCGGACAACAGCAAAATCAATTTAGGTCCACCAGGGCTCATGTTTTTTGTCTTAAACATGTAGATTTTTTTTTATGAAAAACATTTTTTTCTGTACTACAGATTTTCTTGTAAGATCGAAAGATCTGTTTTAACCATTTTTATCATTATTTATGACCTATTGCTAACATTTCTTTCGGTTCTCATGTAGTTACTTTTTTTGTCAGATTTGATATCTTTTTAAAAAAAGTTTATGAGGCCCTATCCAGATTTTTATCAAATAGGGGTTAGTTTTCTTCTAGTTTGCTCACCTTACAAGTCTTTATATATTTTTTAATTCCATTGTAAGCGTTCAGCCTCAATTAAAACTTTAAACTTTTTTTACATAAACTTATTTAGTAGAAGCGTGCCAAAGTTATTACTGATAAAATTTAAAAATTTTCTGACCGCAAATTTGGAATTAAGAACTTTCAAGAGGCTAAAAAACTACTGACAGAAAATTTTTTTTCTGCATTTGTTATTAAAGAATATTTCAAAGGTAGAATTAGTTATTCAAATAAATAGTAAGAGAGAAATAACTTAGTCAATCAGCGTAGAATTCGATAGAATTGCTTTTTGGCACCAAGAATTATACGCCCTTGTGTTTTGGAATTTGAATCATGGGAGCCATACAAAATTAATCAAAAACTTTTAAGATATGTAAAATTTGTTACAGCTTCGACAAATCATTAATAAATGTATGTTGACCTGATCAAAACAACCCTACACGAAATGCATATTGTCATGTATGATGTTCGGCCACTGAAAAAGAAGTAAATGCACGTCGCCCCTTGACAGTTCATACATAGCTTAAGAATTTCACTCTCTTATGTTTTAGAATGGGAATTACAGGTTAGGTTCATCTGTTCGAGATTCAAACTTAACGTTGTTTTGACATCTTCAAATAAGCTCACTAGTTTAATTAGACTGGGAAACGATATAACGAAGGAAGAAGATAAGTCTCATATTATTTATAAAATTGATCAGAATAATTAAAGTGTTCGCTACATTGGTCAGAGAAAACGTTGGGTCCCTGATTGTTTACGTGAGCAAATAAAGTATGTTTACCATAATAATGAAAGATCTGTGATTACCGTACATTGCCACCCTGAGAATCACCAATTTTTATTTGTTATGCCGTAATTTGAGACATCGGACAAAATAAATTTAAAAAAGTGTTTGCTGAAATAATTTTTATCTCAGTTTATAGTAATAACGTTTATAAAAAATGTGATGTTAGTAAATTACGTTCTGAATATAAGATTTTTCAAATAAAGTAAGGAATTCACTTTGCTGATTTATTTGTGACGTCAGCACATTCTCCTTTTTATCTAAATGGCGTTAAAAATGTAATATACATTCTATGATGTTCACTATGTACAATTCTTGCAATTTTATATATTTTTCGTATATTAACCTTAATTTCCTGTATGGTTCACACATAATTTATGTGACTGCGGTATGACTTTTACCTTTTTATTTTTGACTAAGTATTATATACATTTATTTTCATCATTTACATTAAGAACTGTTGTTAATATTGTGAACATATTGTTGGATCATGAAGATCTGTATGTCTATTATTGGGACTTAACCATTCGTGTTATCTTTTAAAAGAGATAAAAAAATTTTTTGTCAGTAAACCACTAAAAGCCGTTTGTATTAACATATATTTTTTAATATTTTTTAATATTCATTTTTGTCGACATAGTAAGAAGTTCCTGATGATGGCAATACTAAATTGCCGAAATATTGGATAAATGTAATACTTTGCAATAAAAAATAGTCCTTCTAAACGAAAAAAATTTTTTTCATATTTTTTATTTTGAATTTTGGACAACTTAGCCAGTTTGAGATGATTGGAGGTGTTGTAATTTATTCATTCCAATCGTACAATATTTGAGGACTTAACCAAGTCAGTTGTATGGTTGTGGATTTACCTCAAAAAATGGAGTTGAAAGATAAAATAGAATCGGGGAGAAT